AGGGGGAAAACTATGGCACGATACAAAAGTCTACTTTCCCAAGAGTAGACTATTTTCCCCAGTGCTAATTAGTAATGTACCTGGAAACCTCTGTTTAATCCGGGTGCCTGAGGGGGTTGGAGGCGGCGTCACTCGTGTACTTTGTACTTTGGAGACATAGGTGTGTTCTGTGGACTCCAGAGCGCCTGCCAAGAAGAGAAAGGAGTAGAGTAAATGGTAGTTCTTGGCACAGGTTGCCCTTCTTAGCTCCTGAGCTGTGCCAGGAACCATAGGAGGCCATCCCCATCATGCTCGTCGGTCCTACTCCTACTGTATTGCTGAAACCTTCCACCCACCCAGGAGAAGCGGAGTTCCTCTAAAGGCACAAAACTAACAGGGTGGCACGGCATGCCTGGGGTGTTAGAAGAAACGGATGCCTCTGCCAAAGGCTGAGGTGTCGCTGATGAAACACAAGATCCCTGCCTGCCCATCATCTAGCCGTGCAGTCATCATTTCTGGGGGAAAGAATCACGGAAGAGACCTTGGGTTTAGTAAATTATTCCCTTGATAGAACACCAAAGAAAGACAGAATCATGTAGTTTAATAATAACTTCTCCAAATCCCAGCAACTGCTGGCAATCTTTTAAAAGCAGCCATATGCTGAGGCAAAACACTGAACCAAAATACACAAGACATCATGAAGATCTGAGCCGCAGAATGAGTACGTTGCCTGTGGATTCAGGAAGACGAGCGTGTCTGCTGGAGAGGATGAGTATCTGCTTGTACATCACATCAGCAGCAGTGGGGGGGTGCGGGGGGAACACGGAGCAAACAGACCTCATCTCCGGAGGCTCTGGGCTCGGTGATGGGAAAGGAATGGTTATGACTTCTAGCACTGGGTGTCTTGGCGTCCAAGAAAAGAACATTTGGTCAAAACTCAACTGATTTTTGTTTTGTTTTGAAAAAAGTTTTTTTTTTTTTTAAAGTTTTACTGAGAGTAAATCCATATATCATATACTTCACCAGTTAAGTTGCTTTAAAAAAAAGAGTTGTAATTTTGGTTTTTTTTTGCTTAGTTTATCATATTGGGGTTTATCTCAGATGTATTTCATCATTGAGGGTAACTCGAATTTTTGTTGTATGTTTTTCTCTTCTTCAGTATGTGAAACCCAGAATTGAACCTATTGAGATAACAAGCGGAATAAGGGTTCCCGGGGGTAGTGTGTGTTTGGGGTGCGGGGCGTGGGGCAGGTAAAGGGAAACTGATGTCAAGGAGTTCAAGAAGGAAGAGAATGATTGACATTAGCAACTGTACAATACTGCTTGATGTGATTGACCTATGGAATGCTGTGATATCTGTATCAGTTCCCTATGAAGTGGTTTTGGAAAAGAAAAAGAATTTTATCTCCATGATCACAATCAGTTCTAGTGCTCCCTCCCACTGCCTGCATTCATTGTTTGCTCCCCAGTTCCTCCTTCCCCTCCCTGATAAGCCACTGCATCCATTATTGACTCTAAAACTCGCTGTTAATGAGATTGGTGCCAGTCTAATTAGTCCTACCTGCTGTTAGGTTAAAAGTTCTTCCTTTTCGTGAAGCTTGTAATGGAGAAAACCAATTCAGCATAGATCCTACTACAGGGATCTGCCGTAATACTCCCTGCAAAACAGAAGCCATTGTTCAAGGGCATCGTGCTGCATCCACCTGCAGCCTAATGCCTGTTGGAAAGTCCAGTCTGTAGTCTCACCTCTTCCAAAAGTCGCTCTTCATTTGCCTTCTGCAGTTGAAGCTGGGCTTCCTGAATCCCTTTCCGAACGACTTCAGTCATATTTTCCAGAAGCTGTATGAAGATTAAGAAAAGTATCAATCACCTAAACTGCTTGCCTGGAGTCTAGAAGAACTGTGAACACAACAGTGGGGGCATTTTGCAAACGCCTGTCCGTAAATGAAATTCTGAAGCTTTAACATGCTTGAGGAGGCCTAAATAGACATACTTTGATGACCAGCCTCATTTGTTAGGAACCAAAGAGGAGGAGAATTGTGTTTCTAACCTGAATGTCATGACAACAGCAAATACACACACTGCTCACCATTCAGGGAAATGAAGCCAGAACAGAGGTGAATTTAGAAGGAACATCAAGAAGTCCACCCCAACATAAACAACGCTGGCTCCTTTAGCCTCATTTCAAACTTCCTTCTCTTCCCACTTCTATCAAAAAGGAATCATACCTTATGTCCCTGACTTTTTCAGACTAGTCTCAGTTATTGCTGGGGAGCATCATTACCCGGAATACCCCTCATTCATCCTTTTGGACCCAGCTCCAATAGGGAACTCTTTCCTGATTTTGCAAGTAGAATTGAATGTGTTTTCCCAAAGGCTCAGCTACCTCTAATTTCTCTTCCACAACATTTACAACATTGTAGAAATATGTATCTCTTACCCCCGCTGGTTTGTGAGCTTCTCTAAGGGCAAGGATGGTGTTATATCCACCTCATACTCCTAATGCCTAGCTCACAGGAAGCATGTATCATTGGGTGGGGAAAGAATGAGTGAACAGAGATTTCCAAGGTTAGCTTCTTCCCTGATGACCCTAGCTAGGTGGATGGGAAAGTTCAGAAAAGAAATGAAACATCGATGAATTTTACAGACCCTTGAGTTTTCTTCAATTTCTCGGGCTGTGACTGCAATGGTTTCCACTAGTTCAGAAACATCTACATCGTCACCTGCCATGCCGATGTAAATACAGCTCTTCATACTTCTATATTCAGGGCCTGTATGAAAAAATAACAAAACTGTTTCTCAAGTCCTGTCATGACTAAGACACAGGCGCGCTTTCCTGCACAGCAGTGTGGCAGCACAGAGAGGAGGCTCCTCTTTTGGGGTGGTGGGCGGGGAGGAAGGGAGGGACAAGGATAAGAGGGGACCTCTCACAAGGGAAGGTGATGTCCCCGAGAGGCTGACGATGGGGAAGGGAACTGGCTGATTCTCGGGAGGGGTCTGCGACCTCCAGAACAAAGGCAAAGTTCCCCCAAAGAGGTAAAACCCATTTTCTTTTAAGCCAGTTAAAAAATCACCATTGACTTATAAAAATAATAATTACCCATTTTAAACGTAAGGTCAGATTCCAGTTCATTTAACTTTTTCAGGAGTCCAGCATGGATTTTTTCCCCTTCAGGATCTGACTTCAAACTGCTTTTATCATCATTAGCATGTTCATACCTGTAAATAAACGTCAACAAGAGGATTTCGATCTACAAAGATCAAATGTGCCTTCAGGGGATTTCGGTGGAATAGAAGAACGTGAAACAAGACAAATGGGCAGAGTCATTGATAGGATAGCAAAATCTGGCACTTTTCAGAATATCACCAGGACTATTTAAGTCATTGCTCAAAATCCCCCAAAAAACCAATAGGCATCAAGTTGAGGGTTTCTTACACAGGGTTTCTGTGGCTGAAAGTCTTTACTAGAGCAGACAGTTTCCTCTTTTCCCGGAAGATCCACCAATATCGTGGTTAGTCCAATGCCTACCCAACTGTGCCACCAGGGCTCCTTAGGCCCGTAAGATTTAGAAAGAGGTGATGTAACAATGATGAGAAATACAACTTTCCTCTAGTTCCTAAAGGTTTCCTCCCCGCT